TGCCTCCAGCACCAGGCTCCGAGGGCTCCTTGAGGCCCGACTTCGCGCTGGCAGGCTCAAAGGCGTTTGCACCGAGAGGAATCTCGGCATCGACTTTGCCGCTGGCAAGGTTCACAAGCAGTTTGTCCGCGCCAGCAGAAAAAATAGCCAGCTGTCACCCGAGCACGCAAATTGCTGGCCCTGCCGCCTTTTGTTTGCAAGCGGCAGCTGCGCACGATGATCCGCAGTGCCGCACTGTCTGCTCACACTTACGGGTGCAAGGTTCTGGGCACCACTGGCACAGACCTCAGACAAGCGCGCATGCTGCACGCCAGGGTGCAGGCGAACAATCTCGATGGCAAGAGTGCGACGCTGTTGCTCATGCTCAGTGAACGTCGTCAGATTGACCCTGCATACGAGCTGCAATGTGCCCCTCTTTCGCAGTTCGCCACCGCGGCGTGGGAGCTATGACGCCCGCGAGCGATGCTGGAGCAAGGATTGCGAGACGCTGTTGTCAGGCTCGCTGATCACGGCAATCCTTGGGCCACCATCCGTGACCCTTTTCTTTGCGTGTGCTGCCACGGCTTTGCGCCTGGGCATCAGCATGCAAGGCTTTGTGTGGTCTCATCCTCGGCATGGCGAGGTCTCTGTCGCGCAGTCAGGGCCTCGCACCGTCCGCAAGTGGCTTCATCAAGTGGTGTCGCAGTGGCTCTGGGAAAAAGTGGCCTCGCGAGAAGGCGTTCCTGAGCTCTCTCTTGGGTGCAATTTTCAGCCTCTGCAGTCCCTTTTAGCTTCGAATGGTTTCAGGCACGATGAGAAGGCCTACCTCAGGAGTGTTGTTGCTGGGGGGCAGTGGCCTCAGCATCGTCAGTGGCTTGCGCAGTGCACCGCCGACCCCCTTTGCCGTTTGTGTCAGCAGGCCCCTGGCACGCTCCTGCATCGTCATGCGTGTTGCGCGGGCCACGATGACCTCATGGCACAGGAGGTCCCGCCTGAGTTTTTGACCTCAGTTGTCAGGGCGTGTGTGGATCCTCTTCCTCTCCTCTTTGCCGAGAGGCTCCTCGTCCCCGAGGCCCCCCTTCCTCCTGCGAATCCCTTCCCTGATCGGCGGTTCGGCGGAGGGCCCACCGAGATGGCAGGCCATATCTTTCTCGATGCCAGCTGGATGGACCAGCATCTGCCGCCAGCATCTCAGGCTGTTAGTTGGGCCATTGTCAGCGTGCAGCCTCGCCATCCGCACAAGGTCAGTTCGGTGATGTGCGGCGCTCTCCAGTCGGCGTGCCGAGATGTTGACTGCGCAGAGCTGTTCGCCTTCAACCGTGCGTTGCAGCATAGCGCCCCTGGCAGTATTTTTGTACACCGACTCTGCGTTCGTCCACGCTGGTGTTCACCAGCGTGGCAAGGTGTACTGTTGTTCCTCGCGTGCTGCCTGGTCTGAGCTATGGGTTCAGGTCTGGCGCCGCATCGGAGACTGGGGCGGCATCGAGTGTGTCGACCTGCGCAAAGTCAAAGGCCATTGCGCCGAAGCTCGCATCCAGTCTGGGCTTTCGACTCGTTTTGAACAAGTGGGCAACGCGCATGCTGATGAATGGGCCCAGTGGGTGGCCTCGAGAGCCCGCATTGACCCTGAGCTCCGCCGTGTTCGCACAGCCATGGCCCTCGTGCTCTCTCAATGGGCCTCCTGGGTTGCGCGCATTGGGCCTCGGATGTGCGATGCTGATTGTGAGCACGTCCCTCGGCGGCAGCGCAAGGCTCGTGGCTCAGGCGCAGTGGACTGCCCTGTGCCAAGGGTGGTGGTGGAGCCCCCGCCGCCAGTCACGCCGCGCAGTTTGTCAAGAGCAGACTTGGCCTCTGTGCGGGTACAGCTTGCGGATGAGAGACCGCATGTTATGCACCCCTTCGCCGTTGTTGGGGACGGTGGGCGGAGGCTGTGGTGTGCTGTGTGTGTGGTGTGCGGGCTGGGAGGAGTCAAGATCTCTGCGAATTTGTCACAGGGTTGTCGAGGCCCTCCTGCACCAGGCACGTGGGGCGCTCGAGTCCTCTCGGGCCTCACGCGTGCGCCTGCACGTTTCCAGGTCAACCGTGTGTGGCGATACCTCGTGGATCCGCTGCGCACGGCCTCCCTGATCCGTGCAGGAGTGGTGCAGCCGCCTTCCAGCGCTGCGAAGTGATGTGCGGTTTCCTGTCTGCCAGCCTGTGTGCTGGCCTTGCCTTTCATTTCTGGGCACTGTTCGGGAGGCGCCACCCGCCTCTGGCTCTCGCCATGCGGTGGCGTAAGTGGCATGTGGCGCGGACAACCTTGTGCGCGTTCAGGCTGAGTCGAGGAGGAGTAGGAGGAGGAGGGGGAGGAGGAGGAGGAGGAGGAGGAGGAGGAGGAGGAGGAGGAGGAGGAGTGGGTCACCGCGTGGCGCCCTCTCGCAAGGCGTGCACAGGGTGTCAGTGCTGGCGCGACGGTGGCCGCAGCACCCGGCCGCTGGCCGCCGGCCCCTCACGCTGGCATCGCGCCCTGGCTTCTCCAGCTCCTGCTCCCCCTCCTCCTCCACCTCCTCCTCCTCCTCCTCCTGCCCCTCCTCCTCCCTCCTCCTCCTCCCTCCTCCTCCCTCCTCCCTCCTCCTCCTCCTGCGAGAGGTGCCGTGCTTTGGGGGGGGGCCGCTTGCTCGCCAGCCTGCGAGCGCCGCCTCGCAGAGAGGGAGCGGGGAAGCGCGAAGGGCGCCGAGGCAGCAGTGCGCCGCTGCAGGTCGAGGCGGGGCGCCACCCTCCGTGGCCCGCTCTGGCGCCACGGGGCCCAGAGAGAGAAGCCCACGGCGCAGAGTTCAGGGTCCAGGCGAGGCATGGGGTGGGGTCGAGGGCCTTCTGCGAGCCAACAGCAGCGGATGCTGGGCGAGAGTCTGACCTGCCTACGCGGTCGTCGGAACAGCCATGGGGCGGCGTTGGCGTACAGCTGGTCGCGTGCTGCAGGTCTCTACCTCCAGTGCAGCTCGGGTGCTCGCTGCTGTGCGTGCCAGCAAGAAGCAGCAGCGGGGCCGGTGCCGATGCAGCGTCAGGGGGCCAGGGGGACCGGGCGGGTGGCAGTGGGGTGTGGCCGAAATAGGGGGGGGAGGAAAAGGGCACTGAAGGGGCCCTTTAGGGCCCCTTTGGGAGCCAGCAGGGGCCCAAAAGGGGCCCTGTTGCGGCCCCAGTCTTCACCCCCACTCGAGTTCCCCTCCCCCCCCCGGGTGCCACCCGCCCGAGAGCCAGGGGGGCGTCAGGGGGGTAAGAGGAGGAGGAGGAGGAGGAGGAGGAGGAGGAGGAGGAGGAGGAGGAGGAGGAGGAGGAGGAGGAGGAGGAGGGGGGGAGCAGGGGGAGAGGGAGCAGGAGGAGAAGGGGGAGGAAGGGTGCCCGCATGCCACTGCGATTCCGCAGATTTCGCCCCTATGGGGCTGCTTGGGCGGCTCTCATTGCCGCGGCCGGATTTGCCTCGAACTCCTGGCTTTGGCATCGCTCGGACGTGTGTTTTTTTTTGTCCGTCGAGGGCCATCGAGGGGCCTCTTGGTCCGTCTTGCGATATGAAATACACGCACGACGCCGAAAACTGCACGGGGAATGGACGTCCGACCGATGGAGCCTTCTGGGCCATCTTGAGTTAAGATATGCGCACGAAGCCAAGATCGCAAGGGGAATGGACGTCCGAGCGATGGCGAGTGGTCAGATTACACCCTAGGAGATGTCCTGGGCGCGGGGGCACCAGTGCCTGTCTGTCTTCCTGGCCAGGAGAGGAGGCAGCCGTAGCGCACTCAAGGGACCGGCGGGGGCGGGCGAGGCCGCGGAGGCGAGGGGGCAGGCGCGGGCGGAGTCGCGGACGGCGCTTCTCCCCCAGCCCCCGACTCGTCGCCGACGCAGGAAGCCGCTCAGAAAAGCAGGGGATCCCGGAGGTGCGCCCCGAGGGGGCTATTCGGGCGCCACCCCATGTCGAGGACGGACGGCCCCACCCCTCGTGTATCCCCCGGCTGCGCCCCGGATGTCTGGCGCACGCGTCGAGAACCCCACGAGGCTTGGGACAGGGGGTCGGCACAGCGCCTGGTAGGCTCGGCAGCCCCACGAGGCTTGGGGCAGGGGGTCGACACATCGCCTGGTAGGATCCGGCCTCTTCCTTCACCGAGGAGGCCGTCTAGACTCAGGCGATCGCAAACAGGCATCAAGGGGGCTAGCTAGCGACTGGTCCCGTTTCCATGGGACATCGCGGGTTGTCGCCGCCGAGCGAGGCGGCACCGTCCGCATTTTGGGGAGGGCACCTCCCCCGACCCACGGATGTGGCGACCGCGCGCCAGCTCCATGGATCGCTGATCCATGTTTGCGCGCCCCCGACTGAGGGGAGGCGGCGCGGGCCGTGGGGGAGCCCGTCTAGACCCCGGGCGGCCGGCCACTAGACCACGGGCGGCCGGCCACGGGTGACCTCGTGCAGGCCCGGCCACAGGAACGACTCGTGCTGCTGATGATGGTGGTGATGATGATGGTGATGATGGTGATGATGGTGATGATGGTGATGGTGATGGTGATGGTGGTGATGATGGTGATGGTGATGCTGATGCTGATGCTGATGTTGATGTTGTTGATGATGATGATGATGATGATGATGATGATGATGATGATGATGATGATGATGATGATGATGATGATGATGCTGATGCTGATACTGATGATGATAATGATGATGATGCAAGGATCCGGGTCCCATGGCCGAGGAGGGCGCGGGGTCAGGAGAGGGCGTCAGAAGAGCGAGATGCCCAGACCCCCGACGTCGTGTTGGTCTCATCACGCCGACCCCCAGAGGTCTCGACACATTCCCCAGGACCGCCTTTTTCACCCTGGGTCGCTTGTTGGTGGTCGTGAGGCCTGGTGAGGGCGCCGAGAGGCCGAAAACAGAGAAGCAACGTCCGTCGTGTTTTGTTTTGATTCGAGGGGGTCTGGGTTCGCAAGGGCAAGCAAGGAGAGAGCGATATGTACCCAGGATCCGAACGGAGGATGGCCGCTGTCTGCCCAAGGTCAGGGACGCGGGGCCGAACACCCTGGCCACGTCCAACCGCGTGCAGCTCTTCTACACCTGCCTGTACAGGTGATTGCCCCGACCTTCCACGGGGCTGGCCACACAGCGATCGAGGCCTCCCAGAAGGGGGTTCGTGCAGATAGCGTCGAAGGATCATTCCGCACCGACGATGCATCGACGACATGGCTCGATGCGGAGCCCGATGATTTCCACTCCGCTGTGGCCGATGCATCGCCGACTTCGCCGATGCATCGCCGATGCATCGACGATGTGGCGCGATCCTCCGACCCAATCTGGGAGGCCTCGAAGCGAGTATCCTTCTGTTCGTGCTCCTGCTGGAGCCGCCACGAGGAGCACTATCGCTCTCTCTGCCATGCGTGAGATGAGCCTCCAGGCAGGTGGCCCCTCTGTGCCATCCATGCTTGCGGCTCTCGGGGCCCTTCCAAGCCCCGAGGTCGTCGAACAATTTCAGCCACGCGCGGAGGGAGTCGGGTCGGGCGAAAGGGGGGGATTGGAAAAGGGGGGGTTACAAAATTTGCTGCATGCAGCTGGTTTCGGCCTCACCGAGGGGCCCATTCCTCGATACATGCGCGCCTCCCGACGCCGGGAGGCGCCGGGAAAATCAGCTACGTGAGCTGATTCTCAACCCCCCCCTTTGCTATCCCCCCCTTTCGCCCGACCCGAGGGAGGTAGGGGGAGGGGGGATGGCTTCTGAGAAGCACCCCTGCCTCCTAGACGGCGCGGGCCTTGTCTATATACGCGTCGGCCGTTGAAAGTAGGTGCTTCTCTGGGCTTCTGAATAAGCGTGGGTGGGTACCCCCCCGACGGGGGTCAACCTCGCCTCGTCGTGGCGCTGCGACGGGGGTCGGAGCGCCTGCGGCGCGCGGTGGCTGCCCGCGACGGGGGTCGATGCGGGGCTGTCGGCGGGGGTGACGCCCCCCTGACGCTGATCAAGAAGCTCGGAGTATGTCATTTTGGGATCTTCCATATCCCAGTCTACTTTGAAGCGCCCTCCTATCTCAAGAGCCTAGCAGTTTTCCCCCTTCCCTGCTCTTCGGGGGGCGGACGGAAACCCGATCTACTTCCAACGCCTTCCTACCTCAAGCGTCTACCTTTTTCTGCCGACCGACGGGCAGATGTGAGGCCCGCGCTTTCTGCGAAGCAGCCTCCTCCCAGGCAGCCTTTCCCCCTCCCCCCATACCCCCCCTTGTGCGCGCCGCCCACGACTGCACGGGACGACGAGCCGGTCTCGGGGGGAGAACCCTAGGGGTCGGAGCCGCCTCACGCGGGAGTCAATTCGCCATTTTGGCCATGTGCGCCCGTGTTCTGGGCGGGGCCTCTGTTTGCGGCCGTGGCGAAGAGTGGAGTCGTCGTCGTCGTCGTCGTCGTCGTCGGCGCGTCGTTGCGTCCTCGTCGCCGTCGTCGTCGCGACCTCGTCGTCGTCGTCGCCGCCACCGCGTCGTGGTCTTGCCGTCGTCGTCGCGTCGTCGTCGCCGCGTCTCGCCGTCGTCGTCGCGTCGTCGTCGCCGCGGAGGGCCCCGGTAGCCACGGGCGCGGAGGGCCCCAGAAGCAGTAGCGAAGCAGCTCGGGGCCCGGAGCGACGAATAGAGAGATCCATTGGCAGCCTTCGGTGCGGGGGCCTTGCACGCGACACAGCCGCTCCGTCCCAGATCGGCGCGCCGCCACGCATGGCCTGGAGAGGCCGCACTGTCCAGCGAGGGGGGGGGTGGAAGGGAACCGCAGCCAGACCACGACGAACGCGCAGACAGACGGCGACGACGACGGCGACGACGACGACGTCGACGACGACGACGAGAGACCAGTAGAGAGCGCGAGCGAACTGTCGCTCGCAGAGGCCTCGACGTGTTGCACTAGGCGGCCAACTCCTCATAGCCCACCACCGCTTCTGAAACAGAATGCATGACAGCACGAGAGAAACGCAAGGCAGGAAGACACCACCACCGCCCATGACCAGGGCCATCCCGGGCCCTGCATTCCCCGATGGTGCACAGATCGCCCTCGGTCTCGGCCCGGAGGGCGCGCACACCGTTCCGGGGCCACGGCCAAGGCTCGGGACGGCCCCCCGGCCAGGCGTGGCGGTGATGCACAGGTGCCACATGTGCACCACAGCAGCCGTCGCCATGAATCCAGGGAGTCGTCGGGCCCCAGACCCCCTCGGGTCATGAAAAAATCACGACGGGAGGTGTTTCCCTATATGTTCGGCCTCCGGGGGCCCTCGCCGGGCCTCGGGGCCGTCAAAAAACGACTCGGGATGAAAAACCGGTCCCGAGGAATGGGTTGGGACCTCTGGGGTCGCGTCATGAAAAAATCATAACGTCGGGGCTTTGGGGCGCCCGGCCCCGCCGCCGGGCCCATTCCTCGATGCATGGGCGCCACACGGCGCCAGGAGGCGCCGGGAAGATCAGCTACGTGAGCTGATTCTCAAACCCCCCCTTTGCTATCCCCCCCTTTCGCCCGACCCCGACAGGGAGTCGTCGGGCGCCGCGCGGGGCCGGCGACGGCCGCAGCAGCTCCGGCGCGGCTGGCGCGTGGCGCCGCGCGCCTGCCACGCCAGCGGGCCGCACACGTGCACGTGCGGCGGCGGCGTGCCTCGAGGCGGCTTCGGCAGGCGCCGATCCACGGGGGGCCGCCCCTGCGCGCAAGCGGCGAGGTCGGAGCCCCCTCCTCCTCCTCCTCCTCCTCCTCCTCCTCCTCCTCCTCCTCCTTCTCCTCCTCCTCCTCCTCCTCCTCCTCCTCCTCCTCCTCCTCCTCCGCCTCCTCCTCCTCCTCCACCCCCGCAGCACCCTCCTCCGCTGCCGGGCGGCCTCGTCGCCCACGGGGGGGGCGAAGGCCGTGGCAGCGCTCTCCAGCAGCAGCTCGCCGCCGCCGCCCGAGAGGCCGTGGGCGCCCGCCGCCTGGAAGGGGGCGCGGGTGGTGTCGTCGGGAGGGGCCCCTGGCCGCGAAGCCAGGGCCGCCCTCCGCGCCGACCGCGCAGCCTCGCCGCGGGACACCAGCGCCGCCAGCACTGGGTCCGCCGCGGGCGAAGCCGCGCTCGCCGCCGCCGCCGCCTCGTCCGCGGGCACCGCCGCCGCCGCCTCAGCGACCACCGCCGCGCCAGGGGCGTCGGCCCGCTCGTCGTCGATGCTGGAGGCGCCGGCGTGCGCGCCAGCACCGCCCTCCCTCCCGTCCACCACCATGCGGGCCGTGCCATCCGCAGCGAGCCCGCCACGTCGCGCGGCGGCGGCGGCGGCGCCTCCGAGGCGCGGCAGCGCCTGCAGAGGGCTCGGCCGCCAGGGGCGCGGCAGGAGCTGCTGCGGCCGCCTCCCCACGAGGCGGCGGGGCTGCGGCAGGCGGCCGAAGCCGCGCGGCCTCGAGCTCCGCCACCGCCGCGCGGCAGGTCCCCTCAGCGGCGCGCAGCAGGCGGCAAGCCGCTGCCGTGCTGAGTAGGAGGAGGAGGAGGAGAAGGAGGAGGAGGCGGGAGGAGGAGGAGGAGGAGGAGGAGGAGGAGGAGGAGGAAGAGGAGGAGGAGGATGCGGGAGGAGGAGGAGGAGGAGGAGGAGGAGGAGGCGGGAGGGTCCCACGGCGGGTAGAGGTGTAGGAGGAGTACGCGTAGGAGTATCAGTCAGGCTGGCCAGTTCGAAGGAGTCAGCGCGCCCCTCCCACTCCCACCCGCTCGTCGACAGAAGAGGAAGCAGTCATGGGACCGACCTGGTGACGACCATGAGGAGGAGGAGGAGGAGGAGGAGGAGGAGGAGGAGGAGGAGGAGGAGGATGAAGAAGAGGCTCGGGTCGACTACACGTAAGAGTGGCCCTTCGCCGGGGTGACCTTCGGTGCGGGCCCATGGGGGTCCCTGGCTCGGCGGATGCGAGGCGACGGTTGCGCCCCTGCGCGCTTGGGTCTGGCCTCTCCGCGGCTCCCCGGACGCCGCGCACCAGAGGGTCACTCTTGCCCAGGGTCACTCTTGTGTGAAGCCGATCGGGGGTCCCCAAGCGGGGTGGTGACCACACTGTGCGGTGAGTCGGTGGGGATTCCAAGGGGGCGGCGCCCTTCGTGCGGGGATGCATCGCAGGAGGAGGGCAGCAGCCTGGGCCTGCGATCTGCCCGCGCCCGGGCGGCGCGGAGCGGGGGAGCGGGGCGATCGGAGGAGGGCCACGTGAGGCAACGTCGGCTCTCATCGCGTGGGTCAAGGCCGCTCTACATCGGTCCCTGGATCCCAGGAGGGGTCCGTCTTGGTCCTTTTTTCCAGGCGGATTCAGCCGTGGCGACGAGAAACCTCCTGGAGGCCCAGCGAGGACGAGAAACGCCAGGAAGGGCCGTCGTTGTCTCGACTGGCCATCCTCCGAGAAATAGACAGCTTCGTCGTCGTCGTCGTCACCGACGTCGGCGTCGGCGGCTGCAGATCAATGATCCTCATGACGTGTGTTGGCCCAACGCGTTTTCACCTCGTTCAGTTCCACCGATAGCGTGCAGCCTGTGACGACCCTCCGCACACCACCTCTGTCATATTGTGGGGCTCCAGTGGACAAGCACACGCTGGCGCTAACACACGCTCTGAGGACCGAGCAGAGGTCGCTGCTGTTCCCGCGACGCCTCCGGGAGTTCACGCCGGAAGGCGTGCAGCACTGGAGCCCGTACAGCGGCAAGGCCCCCCCCACCCTGGGAGCCGAGCCTCGCGCCGCGCGACCTCGGTCTGTCGTCGTAGGAGGAGGAGGAGGAGGAGGAGGAGGAGGAGGAGGAGAAGGAGGAGCAGGAGGAGCAGGAGCAGCAGGAGCAGGAGGAGCAGGAGGAGGAGGAGCAGGAGGAGGAGGAGGATGAAGACGAGTAGGAGGAGGAGGAGGAGGAGGAGGAGGAGGAGGAGGAGGAGGAGGAAGAAGGGAGGGGAATGAGGGACGGAGGATGAACGTGATGGGTACCTCGGAGGCGCAGACGCAGGACGCCGACGACGACGCCGACGCTCCTCCGAACACTGACGAGCCGCCACGGCGGGCACCGCTTCCAGGGTGGCCCCGACGGTGTCGCCAGCTTGCTCGACGGACCCCCACGGACAGGGCACGTGCAGGGGCAGGTGCTCCTCCTGCCGGCCTCCCCCCCCCCCCAACTTGGCGGGGGCCACGTGGGGGCGAGTGCCCGCGCCCGCCTCTGCCCCGGGCGGTGGCCCCAACGCCCTACTCACAGCAGGGAGAGAGGAGAAGGGAGGAGGGAGAGAGGAGGAGGGAGGAGGAGCAGGGAGAGGGGAGGAGGGAGGAGGAGAGGAGAAGGGAGGAGGAGCGGCCAAGAGCACAGCGACTTCGCTTTCGCCGCCTCCTCCCCCCCCCCCCCGCTCCCTCGGCAGCGGCAGCGGCGGAGCGGGCTCAGCCCAACGCCGCCCTCGCCGACGCAGGGGAGATCGCGGCGCAGGGCTTGTCTGCCATCGCGGGTTGCTTGGAGCCCTGTGTGCGGTGCAGTGCAGACATACTGAAGTCGCGTTCCTGCGCTGCCAGGGCGGCCCCATGGACGCCCCGAGGCAGAAACCCCGGCACTGCCACGTGGGGCACCAACGATTTCATCGAAACGCTGATTTGGGATCGAAAACGCATTCGCTGACGGCTTCACCGCCTGAACCCAAGTCGCGGATAGCAGCCCAGTTTAAGACAACCGATATCGTATTGCCACGGCTTCGCCCTTAGAGGTCGAGGGCGCATCCGGCTTGTGCAAGTACACGGTCTGCATGTACTCATGAAGTTTGGCAAGACGTTGATGAAGTATTGGCGCGTCTGGCGGGTACGCTGGCCTTGCGTAATTACACGCGTCCCGTTATAGCTTGGTTCCAGCAGGTCAAGCAATCATCTGCAGCGCCAGCCGTTTCCGTTGCATGTGCCAGTCTGTCATTTGCAGTTGCGCCAGCCTTGAAACTTACACTGGGCAGACGATCGGCTCCGCTGTTCTTCATACGACTGTTGTTGACATCCGCAGAGTGGACGACGGTGGAGTTATTTGGCTGCTGTGCCTTCACCCCAGCGCATTCGCACTCAGCAGGCGCCCTTGTTTTGTACGTTTCGCCCGTTGGGGCCGGGCCCGTGTTTGTTCGTCCCCCTGGTCATGTTTTTCTCTCCCCCTTCACCCACTCCTGAGTGTGGAATCCGGAAAGCACACCTCCTCCTCCCCTCCTTATCCTCCTCCGCCTCCTTCTCTTCCTCCTCCTCCTATTCCTCCTCCTCCTCCTCCTCCTCCTCCTCCTCCTCCTCCTCCTCCCAGGCAGCACCTCGTGGGACCATGTTTCCATCCCCTGGTGGTGCCGGGCGCTCCTGGCGTCGCAGGTTCTTCTGGTCGGGCGTGCTCGCAGAACTTCGGGCGCGGGGGCCCCTCGCAGGTCGAGGGACCAGCGCGCCAATCGTGAATTTGCCATATGGTCGCGTGTCGGACCTCAGGGTTACCAGGGGGAAGTGGGCTGGTAACGTCACGATTCGCGCTGACCCATTCGGGAACGCCGCAGGGATATGGCTGGTTACCCGGCGGCGCTGGCGCGAGTCGTCGCGCTGCCAATGAATGGGGGGGGTTGCGCCGCAGCTGGCGTTGTCGCGAACGATACGAGGATTTCCTCATTGCCCTGTCAGCTGCGGCATGCCCCTCCACCCTGCCCTATGCTCAGGGGCGACGTTGGGGGTGGATATGCTGGGGGGGGTACTTCTGCGTCGACCCCCTTGTCGCCCATTCGTCGCCGAGGAGAGCCCGATAGCCCACCCCGCCAAGCAGCGTGCGGACCTGCTTTCTGGGGCCCATCGCCGATCTATCGGCGACGCGTCGTCGGCTCGAGGTCGATGCTTCCCTGGGGGGGGGGGCATCGACCTCGAATCGACAATCCCCCCCTCCTGAGCCCGTCCCCCTCCCCCACCCCCCTCCTGACGTTGCGTTTCTCCTCGCTCGCCCACGCCGCCGGCAGGTGGTGAGCGGCCACGGGGTGACCGACAACGGCTTCTGGGAGCGGCCCCCCCCCGCCGCGGCAGCGCCGGCGCGGGCCGGGCGGCCCCCGAGGGGGGCGGGCTCGCCTCCGAGCGGCGGGGCCGACCCCTCGCGCCCCTCTAGGGGCGGGGGGGGCCGCGGGGGCCGGCGGGAGCCACGCGCGGGGCGGCGGGAGCGCCGGCGGAGGGGAGGGGGCGGGCGAGGAACGCGCAGGCGGGAGGCAGGGGGCTCGCGGGCGGGGGCGGGGGCGGCGGAAGTCAGAGGGTCGGCTACGCGCAGGAGCGGCCCCTGTTGGGGGGGCCCACTGGGGGTTCCCCGATGGCCCAGCGCGGTGCGACGGTCAGCGTCTTGCGCGCTTGCGTTTGGTCGCCCCGCGCCCCCCCGAGAGCCGCGCGCCAGAGGCCACTCCCACCCTGGGGCACTCCTGCGTGCAGCCGAAGAGCGGAAGAGATACCGAGCTTCGAGGAAGAGCGGCGGCAGAAGCGATCGACCTCGCCGGTGGACGTCGTGGGCGCCCCGAGAGGGAGCCTTCGCCTCCGAGGCGGGGTCCAAGGAGGGTCGGGCTTCCTCGATACCCTCGGGGCGGGAGGGCCGCGGGAGCCGGCGGGAGTTTATTATTGTTTTATTGGTGTATATATATATATATATATATATTTATTTATATACATATATGTATGTATGTATATATATATACACACAAAAACGGAGGAGCCCAGCGGCGGAGAGAGGCGACCGAACGGGGATCGGGGGAACGTAAGTCAGGAGGGAAACAAACACACAGACACAATTAATCGTCGATCCCCAAGAGAATATGGAAAACTATGGGAAGTGGGGGGAAGACAAAAACCCAGAAAAGATGGGACAATATGGGGACTCCTGTTATTTGCGCGTATGTATTTGTGTGTCCCAGGGCCTCTTCAGTAAGATTCGAGTGCGCCGGATCTCGGGTTTGCCGACGCTTTTTGACGAGCGTGTCCTGGATTTTGACGGTCCAGTTTTCGCGAGGTGTGTGCAGCGGGAGTTCGCGTCAAATTTCAGACTGGGTCTCGTCATTTTCATGATGGCCTCGTCAGGCCAGCCCGAGTCCCCCGAACCCGAGTCTGGCGTCTCCCCGAAGGGGGTAAGAGGTACCGATGCCGATGCCCCTGCCTCGTTTGCACCACGCTGAGTCTCCTGGGAGGCTCTCGCCGCCACGGCTGGAGTCGCTTCGAAAGTCTGGCCAGGGCGCACCCCTGGAGAGGTCCGCGGAGTAGCGGTATTTGGTACCTCTCGGTACCCAGCGGAGGAGCCCGGCGGCAGAGAGAGAGGCGGCCGAAGAGGGAGGGGGCGGGGATGATGAGCTTGTTTTCCACCACCACCACCACCATAAGTTGGAGGGGGAAGGAGGAGGAGGAGGAGGTGGAGGAGGAGGAGGAGGAGTAGGAGGAGGAAGAGGAGGAGGAGGAGGAGGAGGAAAGAGGAGGAGGAGGAGGAGGAGGAGGACCCCCCCCCTCCAACTCCTGGTGGTGGTGGTGGAAAACACGCCCATCATGGGAGGGGGGCGGGGAGGGAGGGGGGCGGCGTCAGGGGGCGTGCAGCCTCGCACACGGGCTGCCCGAATCACGAATCCGTCCGGCCGCGCCCCGGGCGCTGCACCAAAGGGGTTTTTAGGGGAGGTTTCCAGAGACCCCTCCACGGGCTTCGGAACCTTGTCAAAACAGGGGGTGCGAAGCCCCTGGGGGGCCCCTCTTGGAAAACCCCCTCCCCAGAAACCCCCTTTGGAACCCTCCAGACCAAGCGCTGGCGGGGGCAGCACGTGTTTTGTTCTCTGGAGGGGGGGGACAGCGACTGCATCGGCCTTGGCATCGCTCGGACGTGTGCATGTTTCAGGCGATCGCAAACATGGATGAAGGGGGCGTGGATTAGCGACGGGTGCCGTTTCCATCATGGGAAATCGCAGGTTTCCGCTGTCGAGCGAGGCGGCACCGGCCGCCTTTTGGGGAGGGCACCTCCCCCGATCCATGGATTTGGCGACCGCGCGCCAAATCCATGGATCGCTAATCCATGTTTGCGCGCCCCCGATCAGAGACTGCATCAACCTTGGCATCGCTCGGACGTGTGCGTGTTTCTCTCGGCAAGGACCCTCGGGGAGAGTCCTGGAGCATCGTGCGAGAGACAAACGCACGGAGCCGAAGAAGGCACGGAAGGCAAACGTCCGAGCGACAGCGAGAGGAGGCATGATTTCTCTGATCTCCGTGCGGATTTCTTGGATCGGCGTTGGGGCCCCCTGGCTGCGCCTCGGGCGCCGCTTCTGGCGCGCTCCGCGCGCCAGGGAGGGGTATCCCGCGCGGATCCGAGAAATCCGCGCGGTGCTCCGAGAGGTTCTGGCCGTGCAGTTTCGTTGCGGTCCTGCTTCTGCCGACACCTCCACGGTCGCGCGAGCCGGTCGGGTCCAGCAGGGCTGCTGCAGAGCGGAACTGTGTCCAGCTGCCTGGCTCGTGCCTGGCTCGTGCCGTTATTTTCTCGAGCCTGATCTCTCCGGAGGCTGTGGCATCGCTCGGACGTGTGCGCCCTGTGCTCGGCGAGGACCGTCGGGGAGCCTCCAGGAGGGAAAGAAACACACAGGCACAATGAATCGTCGATTTCCCAGAAAATGTGGGGAAATATGGGAAGTGGGGGGGAAGACAAACACCCAGCACATCTGGGAAAATATGGGGAATCTTTTTATTTGTGTGCATTTATTTGTGTGTCCTGGGGCCCCTTCAGAGAAACACACACGAAGCCGGAGGAGGCGCGGGGAAGGGACGTCCGAGCGACCAGAGCCCGTGCTCCGTGCTCCCATCGCTGCTCCTCCCCGTCGCGCCCGCTTTGCCCCCGCGGGGCGCCTCGGCGCGAGGAGGCGTCGCCCGGGCCCCCCCCCCCTTCGGAAGCTGGAGCACGTACACTACTCCAGATTTCGTAATAAAAGGGAGGGGGTCTGGACCCTCCAAGACAAGCCATTTCAGACCTCCCCCGTGGGAGAACCCTCCAAAACATCGTCCCCAGCCCCCCCCAGGCCCTCCAAGATAGCCCGGAAGAGACCCCCCCTCCGAAACGAAACCCCCCTCCCTTTTATTACGAAATCTGGAGTACCTTACCAGTGGCGGGCTGTTCTTTTCGATCCCAAGACTTCTTCTTTAGGGTCGGGGGGACGACGTGGGGGTCGTGGTGTGGTGGGTACCTTTTTCCACGCTTTCCCGGGGAGAGAACTAAAAATGAGTACACCAGGATCCCGCATACACCAAGATCCGCTTTTCTGTTCGAATTTCAGTGCGGGGCCGGAAGAAGCGGGGTTCGGTTCCTTCCCCGATGATGGGCAGTCTCGTTTTCTCGAAGCTCTGCTATTCTCTGGCTGTCGGCAGGCCCCGCTGGAACTGCGAGCTTGCGAGGGCCGACAGAGGGCGCGATGAGCGCCACTGGCTCCAGAACAGCTGCGGCACAATGTCGGCGTGCGGATTGCGAGAGGGGGCGCCCGAGCACTCACCCCCCCCGCAGAGGACACCTTCCGCACGGTTTACCCGCTCCTGGCGCTCGCGTACCCCAGGGAGCTAGGCGGGCGCGCCGCGGCCACGCTGCGCGTCGGCGGCAGTGCCCCCTCGCGTGCTGACGACGACGACGACCACCACCACGACGACGACCACCACGACGGCGACGACGACGACGGCGGCGGCGGCGGCGACGACGACGGGGACGACGACGACGACGACGACGACGACGACGAGGACGACGACGACGACGACGACGACGACGAGGACGACGACGACGACGACGGGGACGACGACGACGACGAGGACGACGAGAGCGACGACGACGACGAGGACGACGAGGACGACGACAAGGACGACGGGGACGACGAGGACGACGAGGACGACGGGGGAGGACGGGACTTGGAGCGGCTTTGGCCCCGGGCGGGAGAGCCGCCGCCGCTCCTCTCGCCGAGCGCGTGCCACGACTCGCAGAGTGCCTGCGTGCAGGCTCGTGGCGTATTGACCGGCGGCGAGGCGACCCCGCGGCCAGCGCTCAAAACGTTGAGCGCCTCCGGCGATCGGATGGCGATGGGCTCGCGGAGCTTCGACGCGGCGGCGACGCCGCGGGCATTCGAGGCCAATCACCCCAGGGCTCACGAAGCAGCCACGGCGGGAAATCTGTGCGGCAAAGTGGGTCGACAGGCTTGCAGGCCTCCAAGGGGGGAGGTCATCGCTCCGGATTGAACCGTTCACGTGGTGTCAGAATCGGCCGGATGGCGATGGGGGGATCAGGACATGGGGGGATGAGTATCCGGTACCGTTTTGTTGGGGTGCAATTTGTACTTTCTCTGCGGGTTGCAGGTACAAATTGTATCTTCCCCCCCCCCGTTGACATCCTCGCACATGTCGCGGACGTTGTCAAAAGTACAATTTGTACCTTGTCTGCGTGGCGTCGGTACACATTGTACCTTCTCCGTGGGGCGTAGGTACACTTTGTACCTCGGTTGCGCCTCTCTCCCCATCTGGACTTATCCCCCCATTTGCATCCCGCCAACTCCGGCGATCCAGGATCGGCCGATGTTGAAGAATCTGACGTTTCAGAAACGGCCGATCGTTCAAGGTAGAACGATCTCCGCGGTGTCAGGAGCCAAAGCTGGGGTCGACTCGACACGAACCTGCCGTACTCGCAAACGTCCGGGAGCACACATGAGGCGTTCCAAAGAGGGCCTTGTCTTCGAGGATCGAAGGAGTTGTCATCTCTTCCTCGGCGGAAGGCGGCGGAAGGTCGGCGGAGGTCAAACGAGGCTGCCTCCGTCGACGGAAGCTGGCCGAAGGCTGGCGGCTGCGGAAGTAAAAAATGCGCCCCCAAGCGATGAAAACGTTTTTTGGGTTCACGGTTTCCGAAGTCGCCCACATGTCTGCCGCGACACATTAGATCGCAAATGGCCCGCGGCGTCGCTACGATGCTGCAGTTTTTCGCAACGCCAGTTCTGAGGGTGCTCCCCCTTCTTCTCTTTTTGTTGCCGTTGCTCGGACATTAGGGCTAACGTGTTGTGCGTTGACATGGTGCAAAACAAATCGCCGACTAGGCGTGGTAACAAACGAAGTCGGCCGCGGACGGGTGCAGAAAAGGAAAGACAAGCAGAGAAGCACATAATAGTGGCCCATGAGGGCGAGAGTAACCCAGTCCGCGGCACCTGGCGAAGAGGAGAAACCAACACCAACGTACATCAAACATGTGAAGGGAGGCACCGAACGAGGGAGAATCACTACAGCTGCAGGTGGTGCCGCGATAAACAATGCATTCTCTCCAACTCCCGCATGTGAAAGGATCTAAGTACCCCCGCCACGTATGGGGGGGGGAATAATCATGGTGTGGCAAAGCTAACTGGCGACGTACGTAGAGTGTGAGCAGGAGGCGTATGCAGGCAAAGAGAACAAAAACGTGTGAGGCTGGCTCTATAAAAGGTTTGCCTCTGCTCTTCGTGTGTATGCCGTGCCCTCTGGTAGGGTCAGTGTCTGAGGCAATCGCAAACAAGGCTTGAAGTATGGGGAGGCCGAGTCAAGACTGCAAAATGAAAGTGAAAGGAGGATGCAAGCATGCCAGCAATTCTTGCGCTGCTGCCGGATTTTCTGGTTCACCCCTAGCCTCCGTGACCGCGGGACCCCCGTTATTTTTTTGTTTTGTATTTTTCGGGTTCAGCACGAACCCAATTAACATCATGGCAATGCCAGGCGGCAGCTACTGACTCTGAAGGGGTGCTGCACACTGGGCTACGGTCAGTTCTAGCCAGCGCGAGTGGAGGAAAGTGAGCATTGCAAAGAAGAGTAAGGCCGCAGTGTACAATCGTAACAGTCTGATTGGCGCTGGCCATGCGTAGAGGCTGGCCTGGTAGGAGGCTAACCTGACTGTGCGAGCTACCAATGCTTAGAAGCAAGATATGCGACTGCGGCCTTCTGTGAGCACGCCCCCCTCCCACCACGAGCCACCATACCTCCAACCTCCAACCTTCCGCCGCAAGTAGACATAATTGCGCGGGCAAAGGATCTGAGGAGCCTCACGCTGGCAGGAGGTACACGCAAGCAGGATGTGGAGCATGGGAAGGTCGAGGCTGCGCCAGGCAAGCCGCCACAGTAGGGGTCTTGAAGAAGGAACCCTTTTCGTTGGGGAGGGGTTCCGTGTTCCTCAATTGTTTCACAGTTTGCCTCAGGTTTTCTCAAGGTTTTCGATGGGGAGTCGAAGTTTAGCTTATGGGAAAGGAGGGGCCTCGTTCCTTATTTAGGGTTCCTTAGGTCAACGCCCCGACTGTAGTGACTTGCTGAACGGAGTGCTGCATACCGGGCTTAGTGTGGTCGATCGTCCACTGTAGGAATGTGGGGTCACTCCCCCACCGACGTGCCAAAATGGCACTTCGCTGTAGTAGCCACCATGTTGCCAGCTGCGAGTAGAGATCTGCATGGGCAGGTCAAGCAACCGCGAGTGGAGGTAGGTGGGTACTGCAAAGATGCTGTAAGCAACCACCCGTCCCCACCAATACTCCGCATGCCGATTTCGGCGTCAGAATGGGCGCATCTTTATTGCCTCTTCGTGGTCCCCTGCCGAGTATGGTGGCAGGATGTCCTCGGAATTCCGTCTTTAGAGCGGACTGTTGTGCTCTCGAGTTTGGTAATCGATGGGAAAGCGCCGATTTAGTGTTGATTAGCGCGCGGTTTAGCGTCGTTTGCCGTCGATTCACACGAACCAGCAAGATAACATGGGAGGCTCCCATGAGTTGCCACATCACGTCTTTTTACGGCGGGAGCGTTGGGTAAGGAATGTATCCGGAAGGTTTCAGACCCCGTGGGACTTCTTATTTGATGATGGTTCCGGTGATGTCTTTGGTTAATGCACCATTGGAGTAACACCGGCGTCCAGCCCCAGCCTCTTTAACGCAGGATGATGATTAAGATATCACCGGGGGTCGTGTTCACGCGCCAGCGCCTAGGATGATGATATGATGATTAGAAAAACCGGCCCCGGGCAAGGACACTATTTTTATCAATCGTTTCTCCCCCGCCCTCCTCGTGCGCGCTTGTACTGTCGACAGGCCAGACGGAGCCGAAGCGAAGCGGAAGCCGAAGATTCGGAAGTCATGTTGACAATATTTCACCCTGCATTTGTTTCTTAATCGTCATTTGTTCGTTATCCAATGGCTCCTTATCCAACACCCTCACCGTATTGCCTTTTCGCAGCCCATTGCCGCGCCCCGCCTCCCTCCAGCGCCCCCTGCCGCAGCCGCAGGTGAGCTGCTGGACGGGTGGCTGAGTGCCTTCCGGCACGGCGGCTGGCTGCCCAAGTGGGCGACCCGGGGCTTTCTTTTTGCAGTGTAGTCAGTATAGTCGATCGACCACGCGGAATGGTGACCCTTCGCAGGAGTGATCTTTGGTGCAGCCCTTCTGGGGTACCCCGATCGCCGAACGCGAGGTGGCAGGGGCGTCTTGCGCGCTTGTGTTTGATCCCCCCGCGGACCCCAGAAAGCCACGCACTCAAGGTCCCTCTTACCCTGGGTCACTCTTGCGTGTAGCCGATATATACCCGACCCATGCGCCCATCCCCATCCCTATCCAGACCCCCACCGTCTCAGCATCCCAGTTTGGCATATACCCCTCGAAACCCGGAGGAAGCAGCCTGTATCCCCAGATAGGGGGGCACATCGGCCATTGGGGCCCAGGCCACGCCCATGAAGACAAGGATTGGTTAATCGTTTCTCACCGGGGCAACGTGGAGGGACAAGAAGGCACCAACATCTTGGAGCCGTCGGGGAGTCTGAGGTGGCCCAGCACCGGTTCCGGCCGGCAGGAGATGGGGTGGTGAGGGGGTGGGGCGAGGTTCGAGGTGCTGGGTGTCCGAGCCGATTGTTTGCATTGCTCAACCTCCAGGGGCCGCTTGCGGGCCCGGGGCCGTCAGAACGGAGCCCAAGGTGAAGACCTGCACCAGGTGGATCCCCCGGAGGGGGCCTGGCATGGATCCCGAACGGGATTGCCCTGCACCCCGCCCGCTCCTGACCGACATGCCCGGGGCCCAGCCAGCTTTAGACCCCCTGGCCGCCTCCACCCGATACCGCTGCTCCACGGACCCTGCTCGCGGGGTCCGCTCCGACCAGGATCTCGAGGAGGGTCCAGCCTTTGAGAGCTTTTCGGGACGAGCGGCGGTCTTATCGCTACCTCTTCCTCATCTGACCTTGTTCGCCAACGCGCGGCTGCCGAGTGCCTCCGCCCCAGCCCCCCCATGAGATCCGACGATGCGAAAAAGTGCAGCATCGCGAAAGGTCACGACAGGAGTCCTGCACCCCTCCCCAGCCAGATCGATCCGTGAGGAACCCCCGGGCCCGCAGCCAAGCGAAAACGCACTGCGTGAAATGATTGCAACTCCCAGATCTGAAGGAAGCGGCTGCGATCAGGCAAGGGGTCCTCGGTTTGTCGCCAGTTGCGGCCTCACGGAGCCCTTCCTGGGTCCCAGGGCCGCCAGGAAACGAACGATTCGGGGTGAAAAGCAAGGCTTAGAGAAGCCCCAGAGTGTCCGCGACCCGTTTTCCCTCAGGAGCCCTTTTTGGGAGGTTCGTGGTCCCTCCTTGAGAGAGCCGTCGTCGTCATCGGAAGAGGCGGAGCAGCCGACGACGAAGAAGACAAGGACGACGAACACAACAACGACGGCCACGTTTGCGGCGGCTGCGGCTGCGGCGGTGGCGGTGGCGGTGGTGACAGCGTCGCCGACGATTGGCCACCAGTGAAGGCGAGAATGGAGGAAGGAGGAGAAGCGAGGAGGGAGGAGCAAAAAGGAAAGAGGAGGCGAAGGGAGGGGATACGCAGGACGGAGGAGCAGGACAAGGAGTGGGAGCCACTGGGGCGGTGGAGGGGAGGAAGAGGGAAGAGAAGAGGGAGGGAGGAGCCGAAGGGGGGAGCGAGAGAGAACAGGAGGAAGAGGTGGAGGAGGAGGAGGCGGAGGAGGAGGAGGAGGAGGCGAAGGAGGAGGAGGATGAGGAGGAGGAGGAGGAGGAGGAGAAGGAGCAGAAGCAGGAAGCACCCAAGGACAAGGAGGGGGTGTCCCCCGCTTCCTCTCCATTCCTCTCCCCCACTGCATCGCTGTACTGATCTGGCTCGCATGGGCGTAGGTTTGAGAGGTGTTCGGGTTCCGAGAGATGGACAGGCGCTTGGAACGTGTGCTTGTTTGTTCACAGTCAGCTTCCATGCGTCTCTCGATCTAGACGCTCCTGAGGTCGGGGTTCGGATACTTGCAGTTCTGTATCAAGTGACGACCTTACAGATCCCATGTGATTTTGGATGCGGGGGCCTCTCTACCACGACTCTCGCCTTGTTTGGTATATCTGTCTAGCCGGCAATGTGCTTGGGGTTGTTGCTAGGGGTTGGGCTTGCAGACCTCCGATGTCATGGTTTGCTCTTGGCGTGGACCCCCATGCTTCTCGATTCCTTTCATGCTTTTTATTGCCCCAGGGTCCGCGAGGGCCTCCAGGCTCCAAAGGCTTGGAACAGCGACCATCTCGACTTTCCTCATGACGAGAGGTGTCTGGGCACAGAGACGCGTGTTGGTGCCGAAGTTTTGTGGCCCACAGCAGCATCCTCCTTCGCATCCGAACGACTAGGCTCCCAGCGATGCGCGAGAGGCCAGCCCGGGCTACCGCGGGAGCATGGTCGGCACCTTCGCAGGACTCTCCATCTCCATTTCTCCTGCTCAGCCTTCCGGGAGAGGTGGGAGGTATGCACTACCACCACCAGCAAGCCTCCACATATGCACATGCTGGGCCATAAGGTCTGGCCCACAATGGGACTTTGAGGGTTTGGTGGTGGTGGTGTATTGCTTCCCCACTAATCCTCCGCTTCGGCAGTTTCAGCGCGCTGTCACGCGAAACTCCTTTGTCGATGCTCACCGCTCCTGTTCAAGCATGCCAGAATGTTTACTGGTGTCAAGGGCTTCCAGTCTATCCCACGTGTTGCTGCTACTGTTGAGCATCATCGTGGCTATATCGGGTCCGCGGACAGGAAGACCCTAGCATAATGGGAATGTGCATGACCGCCAGGGTTGTCGCCTGGCACCCCGAACATGCATGTGCGTGGCACCCCCGCAGAGCGCGGTGCCTGCTCGATGACGCTGCACGATTCCCGCTGGGCAACATCGGAGATGCTCCACTGGACTGGACTGGTTCTGTGAAGAGACGTACACGGTCAGTCATGAGCAATGTGTAGTGGTGGTTTTGATTCGGCTATGGTTGCAGTTGTGCAGCTTGGGGGCGCGTGTTCACAAGGCCAGCTGCGGCAACCCACGTTCATGATCAGGCGCTACGGGTGACGTGTTTGCCGCGTTGGGGTCCCAGCGGTGTATCGTCGCGAAGTTGTCCCTGTCGTTCGCAGACGTTGCAAGTGCGGCGCCATGCGTGGCGAACGACTGAATCACTTTTGATCAGACAAGGTCTGTTGGATGTCCCTTTCGCTTAGCCTGAGAGGATCTGGAAGGAATGATGAGGATGACGAGGAGGACACCAGCGAGAACGACAAGGTTGAACACGACGACGAGGATG